TTAAAACCTAATCATAATAATGCTATGAGAAACAACGTTATAATGAGAATGATAGAAATTTAAACTATACAATTTAAAGTTATAAGTTTGTTTTGTGATGCCTTTTTCTGTATTTTGTGTATGTTTATTTCCCCTTTCGCGAATGAATGGGTATAAAATAAATAAATAAAGAAGAAATTTAAACTATACAACTTGTTGTGCCTTTATTTTAAACTATACAGTTTAAAATGAATACATTCATATATACCTGACAATTATAATGCATGATTAATGATTAAGAATGCATGTTTTTCAATTTAAAGACTTAAGTTTGTTTTAAGAAGTGTTTATCTATATTTTTTTATGTTTATTCCACCTTCTACGAATGAATTAATATTAAAACGAATAAATTAATAAAGGAGAAATTTAAACTCCATCGCCTTAAATCGTTTGTGAGTTAAACAATTCTTGTCATTCTTATTTCTCACTCACAGCTGTTCCATTAGTGATAAGTTGCAACTGTGTTATGAATAAAACATTGACACACTATTAAATCTACTCATAATGCCAAATAGTGACTTATGCTGTTTTCTGTGAGAAATAATGCTTTTTACGAAAAATATTATTTCAGCATTCAGTGCATGCTGCACGGTTGCCAATTTATGTGAGGAATAATGTTATTTAGCAATAATATTATCTTAGTTAATCTATTTCAATATTTTTGGACAAGCCTTAATGATTGACATCCGACGACAAGCTCGCGGCCACTCTTAACTAGGGTCTTCAATGCTGAGGTCTTTTTGTTGCAGCTAAATTATGAAAATACTACTATTGATAGTTTTGCGAATTTGTAAAAATCAGGTTGTAATTTTGTGAAAAATCGCAAAAACCACTGGTCAGCCTAAAGTATTCTTTTTTTTTTTTTTTTTTTTTTTTTTTTTTTTTTTTTTTTTTTGCAAATTTGTGAAATATCTACGTATAATTTCCTGAGTCTATAATTAGAGTAGAATCGTTTTTTTTTCTGTCTGTTTTAAGGATAAGTGAAAATAAGGACCTGATTTTGTTACAAAAACGTAAAAACCGTGTCTTCGAACAAGTTAATAATTATAAATTAAATGTCTTCATCGAAAAAGTTTGTGAAGGGACCATTTTTAAATTAATTGTGACCATTTTTAAAAATATTGTGAGGGGTTTAATTTTAAAATGAGATTTTGCGAAGAGTTTACTTTACAATGGGACAAAAAAATTTTGTGAAGGGTTTGTTTTTAAAATGAGAAATACAGTCGAACTTCGATTTAACGAACTTCCATTTTGCGAATTTCTCTATTTTGTGATTATTGTCAAGGAACCAAGGATATTTTGGAAATTTCTTCGTAAAATAACTTCCAAATAACGAATTGAATTTTCCAGGGCTCGAAAAACCGCCCGTCCTTGGCGGTCAAAAATTCCCTGCGGATAACGAATTTCTCGAATCCGACGTCCGCGCGGACGGCCATTTTCCCGTTAATGTTCGTGATACATTTTCAATTTTTGTTATCTTACATGAGTCTAGCTCCTCAATTCTAAAATGACTCTCTAATCTCGAAATACAGCAACATACTGCGTATGATGGAATTGATGTTTTCTCTGTCTGGGAGTACTGTAGCGGTTGAAAGGGGCAATTCAGCAATGAACTTACAAAAAAAAAAAAAANAAATTAAAAAAAAAAAAAAAAAAACACATTACGTACTGGTCTTAAATAAGAAGTGTTAAACGCAATTATGAACTTACCTGAATGCTAACCCCTTTTCAGATTTTAGTGCAGAAACCTCTGTNTTCTGTCTGTTTTAAGGATAAGTGAAAATAAGGACCTGATTTTGTTACAAAAACGTAAAAACCGTGTCTTCGAACAAGTTAATAATTATAAATTAAATGTCTTCATCGAAAAAGTTTGTGAAGGGACCATTTTTAAATTAATTGTGACCATTTTTAAAAATATTGTGAGGGGTTTAATTTTAAAATGAGATTTTGCGAAGAGTCTACTTTACAATAGGACAAAAAAAATTGTGAAGGGTTTGTTTTTAAAATGAGAAATACAGTCGAACTTCTATTTAACGAACTTCCATTTTGCGAATTTCTCTATTTTATGATTATTATTAAGGACATTTTGGAAATTTCTTCGCAAAATTACTTCCAAATAGCGAATTGAATTTTCTATTTAACGAACTTTCCTTTGAGATCCACTTTCTATATTTCCCGAAATACTTCAGAACATTTCAAGCTTGTCAACGCATTTTATGGGGGAACTGATTTTCGAAGCCAGTTAACTTTTAGAGAAAGCAATAAAATCCCTTTTTGTAGACTTAGATAAAATTAACGCATTTTATCAGCAGCAATTAAACTTTAGATCGCATGTGGTAATGTATGTTTAAAATTACTTTTATAATAAATGCATCTATAATTTTATACATAAATTTAGCTTTTTTTAGTTGAAAATGTGTGTAGCATGTACTGGATTATGTTCTGTTTTATTCTTGATTTCCATGCAGATTTCATTTATAGTTAAGATTTATAGAATAAATAGTAGATGCTAGTTTACAGGATAAAGGTGTAGGTACCAATTGCTATTTTAATTATGTCTAGTCTTTATGAATTTAAAACCTGTTTTGAGTCGTTTAAGTATTTCAAAAGGTTACTTTCTATTTTACGAATTTTCCATATAACGAACTTATTATCGGGACTTCGTTAAATAGAGGTTATTCTTAAGGTTCATCTTTCGAATTAAAAATAAATATATTTGTTGCCCGTCCGAGAAAAAGTGTACTTTTCCTCGAATATTGTAGTGTTAGCGGAATACCTGTAAATGTGTTCTGTGCGTGTTTGTGAAACAGGCGCCGCAACGGTATTGCTTATGACATACAGACAAAATATTTTCGGCAGGCACGCAAAATGTGTCGTTTTTCAACAGTGCTAGTCATTCTTCGAACGGACACTTGTTACGAAACATTCTTCAGCAGGATGTAATGTCAAAAAGAAAAATCATTATCATAGACTGACATTCTCTACTCAAGTGACAGTAACAATCACATATATTTTCTCATTTTGTATAACGACATGCGTTTTAATAAGATTTAGTGACATTGGAAGTGCGTCGATTGTTTGAGCACTTATTGTTGGTTATATTCCAACTATCTAGTTGGGACCGTTACTTAGTAATAAAATGGCTTAAAATTGAAAACGGAAAAATATATTATTTCTAACAAATTCGAACGAATGACGATGAAAAAAATTTATATAAATTCAAAATGTAAAATAAATAATTTTAAGTGGGCTCACGGTGCCAAAAATGTTAACTATTTTTATATGTTTTCTTTTTTACAAGAGAGTCTCCGACGTCCCAACTATAGTTTGTCTAAAGTTAGAACTCCCCTAGCCATTCATCTGGACCCGTGGCGGTGACTATGGTAACGAGGTATAACTATTTCAAGTAGGAGTGTGGGATCATTGTTTAGGACAGGATTTGACTCGGGGCGACAAGAGAAAGGGAATCTTTTTCTTCGGTCTATTGTGTTAGAGCCCTAATGTGAAAAGTGTCTACATGCGCTATTCTTGTTTCCATAGCAGCAGGCGGCTTCACACTCTGTGGCGGGAGGAGATCTTACTGTAGACTAAAAACTGGCAGTTCTTTTCAGATCGCTTTTCTCGCTCATTTAACATTAATCATTTTTATTGTCTGTTCTTTTATAGTTTAATTTCTTTTATCATATTCTTTTCTTTTCACTTCTTTTATTTATTATTAATCATAATTGAAATGTGTTAGAGGGCTTTGTCACCTGCTTGTTGTCGTTCGTAAACCCATAGAATTGTTTGCTCATTTCTTTTCAATCGTTTGCTAATGTGTTTTACTTTTGTAACCACGGTGGAATGGATTGTTGATCTGAGGCAGAATATTCTTAATTGAAATTTGAATTTTTATATTATAACTGGTTTTATTTTAAAAATGCCTTGTTAAATTGGGATTGCGCCATGTATAACTCGTGAAAATAAACAAGTAAATAAAAACCGGTTTAAAATGTAAGAATTTGTTTCAGACGACGAAAATAATGTGGAAAAGAATGCTCAGTTTCTTTCATTTATCTAGTTTCAAGTTTATATTTCAACACAAGGCTGAATGAAGATCGTTTTGCTAAAAAGTTAAAAATCTCTTTCTATTAGTTTTCATAAATTATATCTTGTTCTCTAAATAAAACAATCTTGTTTTTTTTTCTCTCCTTTTTTTAATGAATATATGACCTTGTTGTTTTTCGAAATACAAGACAAAAACACTCATGTTAATTTTGATATTAATATTAATTTTATTAATTTTCAGGCATACGTGATTGCGAAGTTTTACCAAAATTATTTTTTTCCTTCGTTCCTTTGCAGCAAAAAACCTAAATTAAACAATTTAATTATTAATATTAATTATTAATAATACCCAAGAAACTAAAGTGGTAAGATATTATTCGATTAAAAAACTTCATTCGCTTCAAAAAGTTTACAGATTTGATATAATAGTTGACATGTTCCAAGCGCTCAAAAATAGACGCCTATTTTCAACACTTGCCAGACGTGCATCAAAGTTATCTTCTCATTCAAGTCTTGAAAATGAGCGACTATTTCTGAGCGCTAGAAAATGTCGATTTGTTATATTCAATCTAAATATTTTTTGTAGCGGTTGAAGTTTTTTACAACCAAGTTTTCCTATTATTAATGGTTTTCGCTTAACTAAATCACGCGACACAAATAACAATAATAAGAAAGTAAAAATATTGTTTTGACTTACAGTATAAATCAAAACATTATGTCTGCATATTAAACATTCATCATTACAACTTATTAGTAAATGGTGCTCAGTGTTTTGTATTTTGTCATTTTTTAATATTATGTATGTTTATTTTTTTTAATTTTATTTAATATGTATATATATTTTTTAATTTTAAATATTTATTTAATTGTATGGCTAGATTGTAATTTGATTTTTTTTCTTTATTTTGTTTCAGGTGCAAATAACCGAAATATTAGTAAGGTAAGGATTTTAGTTCCATCTATTGATTTATAAATTGATATTTCTGTTCACTTGAATATGTTTACTAAAGCATTATTGTTCGCTTTTTTCCTTTTGATTCTAATCGACCGAAAATACTAAAATAAATGATTAATTCGAAAAAAAAGGGAGCACAAACGGTATTTGATAAAGTACTGCGCGTAAACAAAGGGAAAAATAATGCGTTCATTAGAGCAAAAAAAGAAAAAAAAAAGAGGTAAAGATCTTTATTGAGCATGTTTGCCTTGGGATAGTTTACAATATTGATCATAGAGCCCCGATGGCTCAGGGTATAGAGAGTTCGAATTCGAATGAGTTGAATCGGGTTCGAATCCCAGCGATGGCTGGTCGATACGAATTCTGCATCCGGCATGCATCTACCACAGCGCAATCGTATAATATCCTCAGTGGTAGACGGATCATGGATTAGAGTCCCCTTGCCGTTAGCTTAACTATGGGAGATTTTCGTGGTTTTCCTCTTCATGTAACGCAAATGCGAATTTCTCCCAATACTTGATCCAGGAGTTCCTTTGTTTTCTGGATTGGGTTCAAAATTACAAGGCTACGGAGTTGAACATTAGTAGTCGTAAACCTAGAAAATTGGACCGGCTGTTCAACGACTGTTATAAAATAAAATAAAATAAAATAAACTATTTTCTCTATAATTCTAGTCAATGATATTTTCGCTTCCTCAAATTCATAATTTATATTTCCCCGAATTATTTTCTTTATTTCAAATACATGTGCTTGAGGAAGAATCGTTTCACTTAGTTTCTCGGTTAGATTGTGGCGTAACTACCACTACGATTATTAAGCATCAATTCACTAGTATATAAGGCATACTAACTAACTCGATTCAATCTTGGGATATCTTTTGATAGATGACGATTGACATAATCGAAAGCGCATTCCCCACAAGATCAATGAGATGATCCCTTTATTCAAGAAGGCCATGGGTGGATCCTAGAATAGCCCAACATATGGCGATTTTTTCAAATCTCGCCAAGCAAGGGTTTGAAATCTCGCCAAACTAGTTTTCCGGAAGATATTTCGTGGAGACTATTTTGAACGTCAGATCGCACCACCAAAATTCTTAAACGTGAATGGTATTTTGCTATGTAAACCTACGCGAAAGTTGGATTTCGTTAGAAAAGAGGTAAAAGAGTTTATTTTTTTCGCCATTTATGCTTCTGATTCCTTGCTGTTAGAATCATTGTTATTATTTCATTTTTAAACCGTTATTTCATTTATTAGCGTTATTATTTGATTTTTAATTATTCTTTTTGTGAGGTACCTGTTGAAATTATTTTTTTAATGATCAAGAAGTATTGATCCCAGTAATAATCGTAGACTTGGTAAACTTGCCGAGATTTCAAAATGTCGCCAAGAGGTGAGCTTTTGTTGGATTTTACCGAAGGCCTTAACTCTTATAGCGTTAGATAGTAAAAATTCCTTAAAAGTCTTATATTTTGAAATTATAACTAGAATTAAAAAAGAAATACATGAGAAATAATATTTAATGAACTGTTTATTTAAACATATATACCAGTTATTACAATGGAAAATATAAACAGTATTTTAATCATTGGTTGTCTTTTCTTACATAATTATCAAAAGTTATAAAATTTTGAGTCATCGAGACTCTTCGTCAATTGTTTTCTGTAGCTTGAATAAACAGTTCTATGGTTATGAGTTTCTTTTTCGAACCTTTTACCTCTGTATCAACCAGTTGTTTGAGCGCATCATTTGTATCCAGCTCATCAGCTGTCTTTTGAAAGTCTTTTAAGAATATTTACCAGCTCCTCAACTGTCTATTGAAAATCTATAAACTTTTAAAGTAATTTTTGAGTTTTTAATCAGCGTATCAACAAGTCCAAAATTTCTTTCATCGTATCAGTTGTTTCCAGCTCATCAACTGTACTTTGAAAGTCTTTTTTGATTTTTCACCAGTGAATCAACCAGAGCATCATTTGCTCCAGAGTTTCTATTTTATCCAGCTCATCAAACTCCCCATGCATAAGAGCACTCTTTTTAGCAACCATCTCTTTCTCAAGAGTTTTACTCTGATGAGCCTTCTTTGGAACTCTCATTTCAGCCACCATTTGTTCTTTGAACACCTCATTCCAATCTCGCAACTCAAACTTCTCATTGGTGGCCATATCACACTCCTCAAGAGTTGCATCATCATCAGTCATCTCAGACTGTCTATCTCTGTCCCACTCAAGGACATTCTCGTGAGTCTTCTCAGACTCTCCAATTGGCATTTCAGCCATCATTTGTTCTTTCAGAACTTCATCCCAATCTCTTATTTCGAAATAATTCTCATCCGAACCTTCACCCTTCTCCTTAAACACCTTTGCGCTAAAAGTAAATAAATAAATATATAATATTTGCTCAGTGAAACTCACCTTTGTGGACATTATTCGTCATAGTTAATAGATAACTATAGATTTTAGTAAATATTACGATTGAAATAAGTGTTCTTATAAAAGTGCCCTAAGCTATTTTATTGGATTACTATTTACGGTTGAGTTTGAAATTGAAATTTAAGCTAGCGCTGATTTTCTATTCGGGGCAAAATATATTTTTATGATAAAAAATAGTTAAATTAATGCTATTATAAGATGATATTACTAATATCTGATACTTACAGCCTTTTTCGCAAAAATCTCAGCACTTTAGCCATTTTTCTAATTAAGTTTAAGCACCTGTAAAATTATCACCTACAGATAGCACATAAACTTTAGAAGTGAGGATTTCAATATAAAACAATGCATTATTACAGAATATAGCAATATATTGTTACACTGCAACAGTTAAAAGTTTTCTTCGCTCATATTTTAACAATGCATGCCTAATTAAACAATGTTCTTTCAACAGAGACCATTTTAAGGAAATGTGTTTTTAATTCAAATGGCATTGTTTAAACTTGAAATAACTTATAAGATAAAAAGTATTGCAAAAACGTGATTTTGAGTGAAATTTGTGAAAATGAGTTTATTATAAATTTAGAATCCTTGTATTCTTTTCTTTCTTAATATACGTTGCTTTTGTTTGTACTCCAATTATTTACAAAGTTATAGCAGTTTTTGTGCAAGGTTAATAACAGTGGATGGACTAGTGATTTTAAGTCTTTAAATGAGCTTAGCTTCAGATCAGATTTTTTTCACATTTTACACCACCTAAAAGACCATATCTCGTGCTTCAAAATAATTATACGCAATTTTTCATGCGTGTTTATGATCATATCATGCATGTTTTGAACTACAGACTAAGTGAAAAAAAGTAAAATCTCACTTTTTTTCGCAAAGACAAGCGCGGAAATTTTTGAAAATTTGCTTTTTTAACTACATTGATCTCTAACTCAGTATTATAAGTACTTGCTTTTTTGATAGTAGTTCAAATCATCACTTGATAGTCTTTTAAATAAAATACTCGAATTATTTTTTGTTTGTTTTAGGAGATAGACATTTGTTTACAGTGTTTAGCGTATATGCAAANAAGCGAAGAAATTAGGTTTTTATTAACAAGAAAAGTATTTTAAACCCATATAGATTTTTTACGAAAATTGTCCTAAAAAAAAACGACAATTAATATATTTTAGTTCGCTGGCCACAAAAAAGGCTTCGCCGGGCCAATTGGTAACCACTGATCTAGAAGTCCCCTTGTTTTCGAAATTGGGTTCAAAATTACAAGGCTACGGAGTTGAACACTAGTAATCGTTAACCCAAAAATTGGGTCTACTGTTCAATGACGGTTATAAAATATTGATTATAAAAGAATTTTTAATGCCAATTTTGGAACAAGCAAAATGACAATTTTTGCATTTGTTCATTTTATTTCATTTACTATTTTGTTTTTTTAATGAAATGTGTTATAATGAAGACATCTTGGTTTTTATGTTGGTATTAAGCAGTAGTTTTCCAGCAGCGGGAAAACTATTTCCATTAGAAAAGACGCTTAAAAAAAAGCATTAAAAATTAGAATGTGCATCATAAGTATGCCATCTTGTCACCAAACCGATTGACACTTTTTTCCCTCTTCACCGAATTCTATTAAAAACTGTTTTATTTTAACTCCACTGATCCTGAGAGGGAATTGTTTTACGGTTGACGTGACAACGTAATTGAAAGCTTTTTTCCGATAAGTGAAAAAAAATGTAAAGGTCTGATAAAGTGAAAGTAAAATGACATGTTGCCTGTTGAATATATGTTTTTCAACAGCCCGATAAGATTACTTCAAGTTTAAGTATATTTTCCTCTTAAAAAATCGAAGATTAACCTTAACAGCTTAAAAGCTACCACCATTTTAGATTCTATCTTCATTAAATTATATATTTTGTTCAAGTTCCGGTAATGTTGGTAAAGGGTTAAATTGATTGTGGCATTATGTTATAATCCTCTAATTTTGGCTTAGGTTTATTTTAGGGTTGTGTAAAAAGTATAATTGAAAACTTTTTTTTGTTTTTTCTTTTTTCAAAGTGAAACTTTATAATATGAGGGTTATAATCTTTATAATCTTGCCAACTACAAGTTTGGCAAGATTCTGGTACATGCAAATTGGAGGGCGCTTTCATGAGGCCTTCGGCCAGCTTAAAATGAACTGCAGAATTTTTTTTTTTTGAAATTTTTTTTTTATACAGTTTGATTTGGCCTATTCTGCCACAGAATTTGAGGCTGAAGAACTGCAAATTATTGCAGTTAGTAAATTGCAGTAATTTTGTAGTGGACCTCAAGAATTCTACAGTAAATGTTTAATTGTATTGTTGACATTGGAGTTAGGTTAGGCTTTTCGTTGGACACTGTGATTATGTTGTGGTTGAGTTTTGTCAAATGAACCATGGAATGTGTTTGAATTAGTTTATCTGATGGTGCCATCTATTTTGCTAGATGGGGAATGGTAGACTTTTGTGTTAAGCAGCTCTGTGGTGCGCTGCTATTTATGCGTGAATGAGACAGACCAGTTCTAATATTCATTCTAGG